CTAATTGGCTTAAAGGTTGCTGACATTTTATTTTCTTGTTCTTTGTCCAATTTCTGTCAGTTTATTCTTCATTCTATTTCTGCTTACATATTTCTACCAGTATTTTAGCTGTTTGCACCATATATTTCATTGTTGGACTTAACTAATGAATCATCTCAGGGACATTTGCTGTTTTGTTTTGATATTCCTGCAAAATTTGTTTAGATATTATAAAGTTCTGGTATAAAGTCATCATATTATTCAAGATGGTATAAAATTCAGGTTCACTTTTTAGATGGGGTTTGTTTCTCTGACCTGGGGACTCTGCCATTATTCCTGTGCATATTGTCCCTAGTAGATGAATATTGAGTAGAATATATGAGCTTATTATAAGTCTTAACAGTAAGACTTATAATAAGCTCATATATTCTACTCAATATTCAGTATAGTCTTAATAAAAACATTTGTATTATCTGACTATGTGCCTTATTGAGTATGCTTGATACAACACATTGGTATTTATATTATAAGGCCAAGGTCTCTGACCAAAGACTACAGCTAATGAGCTTTTAACAACAACAAAAAAAATCCCATAATAATTTCCTACAAGAGCACAAGGATATAAAGAAAAATGTCCTATATGTTATGTTGTTATGCTATGCTATGCTATGCTATGCTATATATTATGTTATGTTATGTTATGTTATGTTATGTTATGGTATCTTAAAACATAGAATATAGAGTAATAGAGTTGGAAAGGACTTTGGAGGTCTTCTAATCTGTGGGCTGCGTCCCACTACTGGACTGTGGCCTGCTGGCCAGCGGCTAGTGTGTGCATATGTGTGCATGTGCTCATTCCCACTTCCACTAGCACCACTGCCGCTATGCAAATGGGGCACTGCACAGTGAAAATGGGATGCTGCGTGGTGAAAATGGGGCACTATGCAGCAAAAAAGGGGCAGTGTTAGTGCCTGCATGGCAAAAACAGGGTGGTGCTAGCTAGTGTCACTTAGGCACTAGCACTGCCCCATTTGCGTCATGCATCCTCGCGGCCCCATTTGTGTGTGCGCACACGTGTGCATATAAAATGCTTCCCCCTCCCTTTCCTTCCAGTCTGCCAACCAAGATAGGTTGGAGACCTCTATTCTAATCCAACCCCCTGCTTGAGCAGGAGATCCTATACCATTTCAGATAAATGGTTGCCCAGTCTTTTTTTGAAAGCACCCACAACTTCTGAAGGCAAGCTTTCCATTGGTTGATTGCTCTCACCATTAGGAAATTTCTCCTTAGTTCTAGATTTCAACATCCAGCTCGAGAATCCAAAGAATGCCAAATTTGGCAGCTACCTGCCTCTTTTTTTTCAACTTGTCAGTTTCTCTCCTTGGTTAGTTTCTATCATTTTTTTTGGTGCTTTGGAAAATAGTTTTACCCTCTTGTGTTTGTAGGGGCCCCTCAAATATTGGAACACTGCTATCATGTCTCCTCTAATCCTTCTTTTCATTAGACTAAACATACTCAATTCCTGTAACCATTCTTCATATGTTTTAGCCTCTAACCCCCAGACATTCTTGTTGCTCTTCTCTCCACTCTGGAAAGTCTCAACATCTTTAAAATTGTGGTGACCAGAACTGGATAGAGTATTCCAAGTGTGGTCTTACTAAGGCTTTGTAAAGCGGTACTAGAACTTCACCCGATCTTGATTCTATTCCTCTATTAATGGAGCCTAGAATTGCATTACTTTTTTTTTGGGTACGGCTGCACACTGTTGGTTCATAATTAACTGATTGTCCGCTAGTACTCCAAGATCCCTCTCACAATTACTAGCATTAAGCCAAGTTTCACCTAGTCTGTATCTATACAGTTGTTTTTTCCTGCCCAAGTGTAAAACCTTAGTTTCATCTGTGTTGAATTTCATTTTGTTAGATAGATATGTTCAAGTCTGTCAAGATCTTTTTGGAACTTGAGCTTGTCTTCTGGGGTGTTGGCTATTTCTGCCAGCTTAATGCCATCTGCAAATTTGATGAGTTCTCTTTCTAGTCCCTCATCTAGATCATTTATGAAAATATTGAAGAGTATTGGCCCCAAACGCACCTGTTGTATCCGACTGCTTACTTCCCTCCATGTAGATGTAGTTCTGTTGAGTACAATTTGTAAGTCAGTTACAAATCAATCTGGTGGTAATGCCACATTTTTCTAGTTTACCAAGAAGTAGGTTGTGGTCTACTTTTATCAAATGTTTTACTGAGATCTAAGTATACTATGCCCACAGCATTTCAATGATCTACTAATTTAGTCACTTTGTCAAAGAATGAAATAAGATTTGTTTGGCATGATCTGTTTTTGATGAATCTATGTTGGCTTGTTGCTTTGATGAATCCATGTTGGCTTTATTTGCTTGTAGGTGTTTGAAGATTTGTTCCTTGATTGTTTTTTCCAAGATCTTCTCAAGTATTGATGTCAGGCTGGATTTGTTTTTTTTTCCCCTTTTTTGAAGATGGGAACCATATCAGCTCTTTTCTAATCCTCAGGTAGTTCCCTGATGCTCCAAGAACTTTGAAAGATATGTTTCAATGGTTCTGAAATCATGTCTGCCATTTCCTTCAGAACTCTGGGATGTAGTCCGTCAGGACCTGGAGATTTGAATCTGTTTAGAGCTGACAGGTGTTCTCTTACCTTATTTTTGCATATTTTAATTTGCATTTAAATTTAATTCCTAACCTGTCATTTACCATTCTCATTTTGGTAAATTGAGCATTGTTTTCTTCTGGCTTGAAGACAGATGCAAAGTATGAATTAAGCAGTTCTGCTTTTTCTCTACTGCCTGTTACTTCTTTGCCATCTTTTCCCATTAGTGGATTGTTTCCTTGCTTTTTTTCTTGTTTTTTATGAGTTCAAAGAAACTTTTAAAATTGATTTTGACATTTGCTGCAAGTGTCAAGGTTCTGACTAATAAAGCACTTCAAATAACTTTCAGGCATGTTTCCTAAGGTCTTTATTGCAGAGCTACAAATTGCCAGTCACCATCATGGACGTTTTGATGCCAGAATCTGACTTCCTCTTGCTGGCATCAAACTTTTCTTGCTAAACCCCTCCCTTATCTTGCAGTCACAAGTCACATTATCCAATTAGTGTGAAGGTCAAAAGTTTACTTCCTCTTTCTTTCCTGGGCTTTTTATCCCCCCCCCACTCTAAGCTATGTATTAACCCAGTAAATACCAGAAAGTTTTGCATATTGTCAAAGCAAGAATATACAGTATTTGCAGCATTGACATCCGGCCCCCCTTACAAGGACAGATCCTGTAAAGTAAACAAAAGCATAGAAGAAGAAGAAGAAGAAGAAGAAGAAGAAGAAGAAGAAGAAGAAGGAGAAGGAGAAGGAGAAGGAGAAGGAGAAGGAGAAGGAGAAGGAGAAGGAGGAGAAGGAGAAGGAGAAGGAGAAGGAGAAGGAGAAGGAGGGAGGCAATTTTAGGGACTGTCCCAGGGAATTTCACCCCCCCCCCGTCCCCTTTCAAAATTCCTGCATTAATTTGGTTTTCCCGGTCTGGCTGGGCAAAATTGCAATTCTTCCTCAGCTCTGCTCCCCTGGTGTCAGAGGAACAGCTATTTTTTTTTTCTTCTCCTTGGTTCAATCTTGGGTTCCTTCAACTTCTGAGCCCTGCAAATACTGTATATTCTTGCTTTGACAGCAAGTCTTACATTGTTCAAATCCTTAGCTTTCCTAACTTCATATTTGCAGGTTCGGGCTATTTGTTGGTATTCTGCCTTAGTTATGTATCCCTCTTTCCATTTTTTGTACTTATCCTTTTTTTCTCTCAGTTGGTATGAGAATTCTTTGTGCAACCATGCTGGTTTTTTTCTTGGTTTTCTTGTTTTTCTTTTTTAGCAGGTTGAATTGGACTAGGCTTTTATAATTGTATTTTTCTGAGTTTACCAAGCTTCTTGAGTCAATTTGTTCTTTAAGATTTTCAACTATGGTATCTTTCCCAAGCTGTCTGAGTTTGTTAAAATTAGCTCTTTTAAAAATCTAAGACACTGGTTTCATTATGTTCTGTTGGTTGTGTCTGTTTTATATTGCAGTCTTAACATGATACGGTCACTCTCCCCTAAAGTTCCTGCAATTTCAATCTGTTCTATCACTTCTTTGTTGTTGGTAAGAATAAGGTCCAGTATAACTGTCCCCATAGTTGCCTCTTCTACCTTTTGGGTGATGAAATTGTCAGCTAAGTGGGTCAGGAATCTGTTCCATCTCCCACTTGCTGCAGAGTTTGCCTCCCAATTGATATCAGGATAGTTAAAGTCCCCCATTACTACTGTGGTGTGCTTCCTATAATTTGTTAACTGAATAGCAAAAAGTTCATCTATTTCTTCTACTTGGTTATGTGGCCTGTAGTATACACCTATGGAAATATCAGTTTCCCCCCCTTTTATATTGACCCATATGCATTCTAGAAGCCTTTCATCCTTTGTTGCGTGCATCTCTGTAGAAAGTGATCTCTAACATATAATGCAACTCTACCTCCTATTTTGTTAGGTCTGTTTCTTTTGAACAGTTTGTATCCTTCTATTAGTACATTCCAGTCATGAGTTTCATCCCACCAAGTTTCTGTAATGGGAACTATAGCATACTTGCCCTCATATACTAGTATTTTGAGGTCACCATGTTTGTTCCCTAAACTTTTTAGTGTTCATGTATAGGCATTTAAGTCCTTTGTGGCTTACCTTGGGTACGCTTCTTACATCTCATTTGCACTTAAATTTTTCTTCTTTCTTTCTCTTTACTCCTTACCTCCTTATTTGACTGGATATCTAGTGGTTTATGCCTGGAATTAGGTCCTAAAGGTTGTGAAGATTGGTTACCCTCCCATATCATATATCATATCATATCATATCTATTTAATATATTTAATTAAAATATAATTCAATATAATATAATGAAAAAAAATCCTATTATATTTTATTATAATTATATTATATATTTTGCATAGAAAACCTACAATAGCCCAATGGAATTAGGAGTTGGTTTGATAAAATAAAATCCTTATTTATGGATATCATCATTGCCCTTTCTTAGTGCTACTTTGTGGCACATGAAATGCTATTTGGAATCAGTTATTTTCTTTGTACCTTCTCAAATTATTGAACCACATACACTCTTCTGATGAACTTATGTTGAAAGGGTTTCCTGTCACAAAGTGGTTTATGGATCTTGTCTGCTCTAATCAATTAATGTCATATTCGCATAGACTAGAAAGAAAACAAAGACTTTTTGTTCAAAAGTTAACTCATTGCTCTTACCTTTGGTGTTAATAGAGGTCATGCTAACTTCTGGGTAGTGAAGCAAGAGCAACAATGACCACAAAAGGAAAATATACATGTAAAAGAACATGCTTGGTGGGTGGGGATCCAGAACCCTTTATTATATAGAAAGAGAATGATCTTCAAACAAAATGAAATGCACAGGCCTAGGTGTGACTAAACTCTTTGGAGCTGCATCACACAGATCCCAGATGATTGACAAAATAATGAAATTCACTAAGCATCTTCATGGGATAGCAACACCCTGAACATGTTTGGGGAGTCTAAAATTAGCAAACTGGTAAAAGCAGTAAGCTCAGTGTAGGTAGTGACTTGGTTAATGCCCAATACCTTGCCCCAGATCCATGCAGAGCAAGACTGCATTATCCTTTTGCATGTTTCGGGATATGTAATATCTTCAAAGCATAAGTTCCTACTGCCTCTTCCCTTTACATTCCTCTCCACTGTTTTTTTTTTTTTTTTTGGGCTGAGAAAATGGCTACTTTATACAGCAGGAATGTTAAACTCTCTTCTGCCAGTTCTTTTGCTTTGATTCTCCACTATAATGAACAAATTGAATAGTTTCGATATATAGGCCGAATGTTCATATAGTTGCTTAATGACAAGACTGAGCTTTAAAAGCATATAGTAAATCCCAGCACTGTAAGATTGACTATATATTTTATGGGGATATTATGGAAAGAGATCAAATTTGATTCCTTGTTTCAAGTTGCTAAATGAGGAATAGATAAGCATGGCCAAATGATATCTCCGATGCAGAATTGACATTCACTGGAAAAATCTGTTGGGTATGTAATCAAGACAACCAGTGAGAGAATGAGGCATCACTGAGAAAAAAAGTAGTCTTGCATTGCTTTCAGGCTTGTGCATCGTTTTTGCTGGGAAACTGTTGCTCTGTTTTGTGTCCCAATAGTTCTTGCCTAAAGGGCAATGATAACTTATTTATCCCATGCCTTATTTTAAAGGCGGCCTGTGTAGTTCACATGAAAGCAGCACAGTTATAAATTAAGCTGCTGCTAGAATAAAAGTGAATGTTCATCATTCTGAAAATCTCAGTTTCCATTTATAGTGCTACCTGTATATTTCCCCAGCTCAGTGTAGCCTGAAATACTCTGGAACTTCATGCCATCAGAATTGAAGTGTGCATACATGTGAATGAAACAGAAATACTTGTTTTTTGAAAAACAGAAATCTTGCACTGAATCATTTTATAAATGATTTATAACAGAATGTTCTTAAAATATGAGATGTGATGTTTAACAAGATTTTTTGAAGGGCTGGCTGGCTTTGGCAATGTTAGAACTTTCCTGGTCAAATGAGTGAGGCTGCTGCTTGCTAAGTAGAACTGAACAGAGCAAAAGATCTACTTAGCAAAGATTTAAAAAACTGTCCAAAATCCAATTTTCTGCAGCGACTTTACGGGATCTTTTTTTGTTTTTGTTTTCTTTGAAACTGTAAACACAATAAGCATTTCCAATAGGATTCAATATATTGATGCGCTGACTGAAGTGCCAGTCCTGATTCTCCCATCCTGCCCCATCCCACCCTGTCTCTTTCTTTAAAAAAGGTTGTAATAACAAAAATTATCATTCCTTACAAGTTGAAGCACAGATAACAAACAGATAGAAAAGATCAGATGCTGGAGTGGATGAGGTTCTGCTTGGAAGGTCCATTGGTTCTGCTTTCTTTCCAAAGGGCCCCTATTAAATACCTGAGTTGCAAGGGATGTTCCTCCATTTGTTAAAATCTTGTGCTGGAAACAGCTCTCTATGCTGGGATGAGAGCAGAATTATTTCTTCACCCCTTCCCTCCACCCAAGAAAACAAGAACCAATGCTGATATTTAAGAAGAGACCCATCATGTGTCCAAAATCTCCCTGGTGGGGGATGGTTCATGAGGAAGGCCTTGTGTACTGTGGAGGGTCTGATTGTGGGGCACTGAGTTCTGCTGGAGCTCAAGTGCAATGGCATTTTGTGGGAACTCCTTCACTTGCTTCTTGTACTCTAGGAATGTGCAGACCTTGGTAGCAATGGCAATTATATTCTTGCCAATAAAGATTGTAGAGACTCTGCTGTCTTGAAATAGGACCATATTAATGGCTCGGATGAATATGGTAACCATATTTATGGTCACCAGGCTCAGGACAGGGTAGAGCATCATTTTCTGGGGAGCAATATGCTCTCCTTGCATGCTAATTTCACTCAAAGAAACACAGGGCAGGATCAGGAGCAGTATGTAGCAATAGAAGAACATGAGTCCTTCTGCCCAGATTGGCAAACCAGTCTTATGTGGCTCCCACAGGTTGGCTTGAATATCTAAGATATCCAATAAGTCCAAAGCCACCCAGAAGAGACGCCCTCGCAAATCCTCTTTCTTCCGAAAGGTACGTATATATTCCATACTGTCCAAGGCTACTAGCACTAGGTACAATCCTGGCACACAAATGGAGAGAAGCAAGGTCAGTGCCTTTCTAGCCACTGTCTCCAGATTTCTCTTATCAGCCTTACAGTTCTGGAATATAAAATACAGTTTGATTTCCAGCACAAAGATATAGAGGAACCAAAGAATCATAGCATAGCCCCGTTTGGCTGTCTTCACCTCAGCCCCCACCCAGACCGCCACATAGCGCAGCACAATCAAAAAGCAAATGTCTCCTACCAGGACAATGATGCAGACACCAATTTTACGAGGCCCTTGGTTCTGCTCTACCAGATAAGCATCCATGAATGCCATGCTGGTCATAATAACAAAGGTGGTAAGACATACGTGACGCTTATCTGGGGGTGGAAGCACCATGTTGAGATGATGGAACCACCCACCCTTTTCTTCCCACTTTGTGGTATTGCTCCAAGGGCCAGCCTTACATTTGTCACAGATGAAATCTCTTTAAATTGTTGGCAGTAAATCTTAATTATAAAATAAATTCCAGTAAGGCAATAACAGATGAACTTGATATTTCATCTGATACCTTCAAGTTCTGATCACTCAAAAGTACAGCAATCATCGGTTCTGAATTTTTTGCTGCATATAGAATCAAGATTTCCACTAGCAGAAAGATCCTTTGCTGATTCCCATAGTATTCACCTTCTGACTAAGCCTGTCGTTAGCATTTCTGATAGTATCTTTGAGAAGACCTTCATTTCAGTTATAATTGTTTAGTTTTTCCGCTATTAATGTCCTTCTTGAAGAATGAGAAGGCCCTCACTGGCTTGTAGATAATCTTCCTTATGGGCTTCTTGGCAGCAGTTCATCAAGTTCTTCAGCAATTAAAAAAATTGTCAGGCATCAACCATAGTAGCATGCTAGAATAGCAGGTCAAAACTTATTGCTCCTCAAAAGCTGTAAACAGGGGTGATCATTTCCCAGGGTATCTTTTCCCTTGTAAGTCCCTCTGCTCCTCCACCCATGACTCTATCCGGAGCAGAATCCATGGAGAGTAATACTTGCACTTCCAAGAGAGGCTTCTGATCCAGCATCTCTTTCTTGCTACTATCCATTCTGAGCTGGAAAAAAAAAAACCCAGAGGAAAAAATAAGTGAGGGAAGTTTCAGTCATGTGAGTCAAGAAGCTGTCTTTTTCAGCATGGATATTGAGAGTTAGAAGAAAGGAACAACTCTTCTGTTTTACAACTTGTATTACAAAACACCTTAAATACTTTTTTTGGGGGGGGGGGAGGGCAAATAACCTACCTTTGGGAAACAAGTCTTTGCCCTGGCTTTGTAGAAGATACAGAAGAAGCTCCGTCATCAAGGAAATTTAGGCAAAGTTACATTTGCAGCATAACACTATACTGATGTTTTGCAATTGCCTTCGATGAGCCTCCTTTTAACTGTTTCTCTAAAATTGCAATTCTTGCCTTTTGGAGGGAGATACCTGATCTTATATTAAGGTTGATACTTTCTGTTTAAGACAGAGGGGGTTGGACTAGATGACCTCCAAGGTCCCTTCCAACTTTACTACTATTACTATTACTATATACTGTTTACTTTTTTTTACTTCTTTCTGTCCATTTAAATCTTTTAACCTGTCCAATATTATGTAATATTCAGAAAAAGAAAAAAAAATCTAAAGTTTGCCTCAAAAGAGATATTAGAAGTCTCTCATTCCAAAATACAACCAAATCACATTCTGTTGATGTGGCTTCACTTTACCACTTCAGCTAGCCCCTTTTTAAGTTGACTTCAGGAGACCATGTTATATAATCTCATCTTCCCAAAACACTAAACTCCTGTGAATGTGTTCAACTTAAGTTGAAGCAATCACCTCTTTTCTCCCTTTCCCTTATACTTGGGAGAAGGAAAAAAATCTGATCTCTTGACCGGCACCTGAACACTGCATTTGTTAGATATCTTTTCCTCTGTTCTATATCTTGATCTAACATCTGATTTAATTAGGCAATTTTGAAGCTTCAAACTTTTTATCTATTCACAGCACTTTCTCAACTCCTCTCAGGAAACATGTATTTCAAAAGGCAAAACATGTTGTATTGGACCCATTCTTGTGATCCTCCAGGTGTGCATTTATAGAACCCATAGAGAATTTTGGAAATATGCCATAACCAGAAAGAATAAGAAAGAAATTCTGTGCACTAATGGTTATTGTCAAGAAAGAAGAACAGCTACAGAAATCTTTCAAATATTTCTTAGGAACCACTTCTGCAATTCCACTATGGATTCCAAAATCAAATTAGCTGCACAGCAATGATAGGTGTGAGTCTGTAAATCTGCATGCATTTCAGCATATGACCCCAATTAATTATTTGCATTCACCCCAATATGTTTTATGAATAAAGGAGCATATTATTCATTATAATGTAATAATCATTACATGCTTTAAGTGTTATGAATACATATAAGTAAGATCCTGCCATGGCCAATAAAAATATTAAGAAAAATATGTATAGTGGAATGTGCCTACAAAGGGAGGTGATGTAATGGACTAGAATAATGCAGCAGGTTCCCAAGAAGGAGAGAACACATTCCAAGGAGGTGGGCAACACAAGAGATAGCAGAGTGAGCTGAATTATGGGAAGAGAAAGGAAGTTAGGATAGCCACTCCATAGAATTTTCCAGGGTATATCCATTGGGATAAAGGTAGTAAAGGTTTAGTCTGGCAAGATTCTGTCTAAATATTAAAGCAAATAAAGAACTGAACTTTGACTGGATTGTGTTACGTCGTTCTTGAGCTAGGCTTCACAATGTCAGGGTTCTGCCACACAGACAACAGCAATGTAACAAATCAAAGCCCTTTAATAATTGCTGTAGGACTGGATCCTTGGAGAACTGGCATTTCTAATACTTGAAATATATAATCTCCAAAATATGAAAGAAACTCTTTAATCCAAAACAAATTTTGGCATGATAAATTTCAGATGGGGAATTGCAGCAAAAACCTTTTAGAAGGCTATTTTCATCTAGCAGATAATGATAGAAGCTATAAGAAGCAACATAAACAATGGAAATACTAGCAAAAAATACATACATCAGCTGAGAAGCAAACTCTGCAGCAAGTAGGAGATCAAATAGATTTTTGACATGCGTAGCTATCTATTTTGTCACCTGAAAATGGAAGTAAGAATAGAGGGTCACCTATATTGGACTTACTCCTAATTAATACGGATGAAATGATTGAGGAAATGGAGGTAGCAGGAACTTTGGAAGACAGTGACCATTCATCACAATGCAGGCACAGGTGACTGAACAAAGTCAGACCAGTGTTTTAAACCTTAAGAGAGCTGAGTTCAAGAAACTGAGAAACATTAGGAAAAATTCCATAGATGGAAATCCTGGAAGAAAGGCAGTTCAGGATGATGGGAAATTTGAAATAATAACATCTTAAACAAAAACAATAACACGGAGAAATACAAAAGACAGCAGGGTTGCAAAAAGAACTCTCTGACAAACTGAGGGAAAACAATGACAGGGATCAGGAAGACTAAGATTCAGAATGAACTAAGACTTGAAAAAAATGCCAATAATAACAAGTTTCTTTCAGTATGTAAAGAACAAGAAGAAAATCAAGGAAATGATTGGGCCACTAGTGACTAATGGGAGAAAATGACAAGAAGGTGACTGACAGCACGGAAAAGGTATAGAAAACAGAATGACAGGGTTGGAAGAGAAAGACCTCAAACAGGAAACATACAGTATATATACCATCCTGGTCAAATCTTTGTCCAACCTCTTCTTGGAAACCTCCAGTGATGGAGTACACACAATTTCTAGAGGCAAACCATTCTACTGATTAATTGTTCTCATTGTCAGGAAATTTCTCCTTAATTGTAGGTTGGATCTTTCTAATAAACTTCCACCCATTTTCTCCTGCCCTCGGGTGCTTTGGACCCCCTTTGTGACAACCCCTCAAGTAGTGGGAGACTATAATATTGTGAAGGGTTAGATGAAAGAATATATGTGCAGATGAGGCCCTGGGGATCAGAAGAAGGGTCATATGTGGAGATAGGACCCAGGTATGGTTGTAATGGACATGGGAATGAGGAAGATGAATTCTGAGAAGAAACATTTATCTTAGACAACTTTTTCTTTAACAACTTTTTTCCTTTCTGCTCACTGAGGGATTTGCAGCATACGTTTGCTAACAGTTGAGCAGTGTGAGGGGGGTTGCAGGAGTGGGGGGGGCTGCGGGGGGGGTAGGGGGAATGCAGGGATAATGAAGCAAGACAGATTCACAGGTTCAACCACTTAGCCAGGATGTTGAATCTCACTTACAAGAAAATCTAAAACCACATAGCTGGCACAGGAATCTAGAAGCTTTGCAAGATACCCGTGACCTGAGGAGGGCAACAGGTGGCGTGACATTTAGCTATTTTTCATAGCAAGTGAGAAAGCTTTGGGGGGCTGCAATCCAGGTAACCAATCAATATTATATGTTATGCATTTATTATTGAGAGGAGGCAAAGGGGTGTATGTGAATCACCTTTGAATATAAAAACTGCTCTAAAACTGTAATCACGGCCTTGGTACCTTTCAAAGCTGAGGCCACTTTTATCTCTTGGTACCAAAATAAAAGTCTTTCCACATCTTGGGTTTGGTGATCAATTGGCTTCAACACCAAGCCAAGACCCAGTTTTGGGAACAACAATTGGAATACTGCTATCATGTCATCCCTAGCCCTTCTCTTCGTTAGACTAGACAAACCCCATTCCTGTAACCATTTTTTCTATGTTTTAGCTTCCAGGTCTTAATAATCTCTGTTGCTCTTTTCTGCATTCTTTCTATATTCTCAACATCTTTTTTGTATTGTGGTGACCAGAATTGGATGTAGCATTCCAAGTGTGACCTCATTAGTGCAGTATAAAGTGGTACTACCACTTCTCGTGATCTTATCCCTCTGTTGATGCAGCCTAGGATTGGATTGGCTTTTCTGGCAGCTGCAGCACACTGCAGGCTCATACTTAAGTGGTGGTCCTCTAGGACACCTAGATCCCTCTCACAGTCACTATTGTTGAGTCAGATATCACCAATTCTGTACCTGTACATTTGGTTTTTCCTGCTAAGCATAAGAACTTACTTTTCTGACCACTGAATTGCATTTTGTTGGCTCAAATGAACTAAGCTAGCAACACATGTCAAAAATATTTTTAAAAAGTTTATTTCAACATGTAAAAAAATCCAAGAAAAGAAATCAAGGACACTATCAGTCCACTCATGGGAGAAGATGTTAAGGAGGTGATGGGTAGCGGGGAGAAAGTAGAACTGCTTAATTGATTCTTTATACCTGCCTTTATGCAAAAAGAAAAAATAGTCCAGCCTATGAAACAGTACCAAAGAACAGGGCTTTTCAACCGGTGGTACGCGTACCACCGATGGTACTTTGGCACCAGGCAGATGGTATGCAACCATCCTTGAGAAGTGGTAGCGGGGTGGTGGTGGTGGTGGAGAGGAATGAACTGAAGTGGCGGCAGTGCTGCACAAGCCTGAGGGTGAAACAGCTGGAGCTGCAGGGCTGTCGGGGATCAGCAGAAGCCCCAGGATCAGTGCTGGGCTCCAGCTGATCGGCACTTCCGGAAGCTGGAGGTGCCCTGAAGATAAAAGGTGGAGGAGGGGGGGAAAGAGGAGAGGATATAAAAGGAGGTTTTGGCAGGAAAGGGCCAGCAAGAAGCTGCCCCCCCCACCCCCTGAGCATGTGAAGAGGCGGCGAGCACCCAGCATCCCTGCTAACCGTCCCTGCTGACCACTGAGAAAGAAAAAAGGCAAGAGAAGTGCTTCCCTTTTCCCCAAGATGCCAGTGCTCATGCACTTGCCACCTTCTCTGTACAACCCCAGGGGATGGGATGGGGGGGCTCGCTGGCTCCAGGGCTGCCCCGTGGATCTAAGGCTGAGCACGTTCCAGCTTTGATCGCCCCCACCATTAGATCAGTGCCATGCCCACTCACTGACCTTAGCCTCACAGCCACCAGGCTTCCTTTTCACTGGGACTGCCCTGCCTGTGTGGGATAGCTATGGCTGGCAGTAGCATGGCCACTGGCAGTGCTGGCAATCTCTACCCCTCCCATCATACCTTCCTGAGCACGGAGGAAGGAAAGAGAAGCAGGGGAGGGAGGGAGGGAGAGAGGGAGAGAGGGAGAGAAGGAAGAAGGAGAGGCAACTTGGTTGGAAATGCCCCAGTTCGAAGGAGAAAGCAATTTTGTGTTCTGCTTTGTCACAGATAGAACTTTGTTGGCAATCCAAGCTAACATTGGTGTTATGTATTAAGCAATTAATAAGGTCTGTTATAAAAAACAGTTAACTGTTTGTTCTATTTGAATTATAGATTGTCTGTCTGTATAAATTTAAGCCTTTGTTTTAGGCGGGAATGAGTACTTTAAATTGATTGGCCGCCGCCTAGTGGTGGTACGTATAAATATAAGTCAAGCAGCTGCTAGAGCTTGCTTCTGTGAGAACTGAATAAAGAGCTGTTAATTCAACTCCGTGTCTTCAATGTCTCACTGTTCCCACTATACAACAGTGGTGATGAAGGTGGGATTATGCTGCTAGGAGGAAACAGCTAAGTCACTAAGGGGTAAATTCAGGCATCAGCGCCCTGGTTGGAACCTTGTTTCCCCCTTCTGCCTTCCAGTATGCAAACGCTGGAGGTAGCACATTCCTTGGGATCCGTCCCTAGGAATCTCACAGAAGCCCTAGCAGCATAAGGCATTGGAGATGCAGTAACTGCCAAGCCATGGCCAAAGTTGGCAAGCTTTCAGAGTTCGATGTGATGCACCCCAAACAATGGAGTTCATATGTTTCAAGAGTAGAAAACTACTTCAGAGCAAACCAGGTCAGAGAAGATAATTTAAAAGTTGCAACCTTGTGTGTGTGTGGCCAAGCCACCTTTGATATAGCGGAGAACTTAGTCACTACTGCTTCCTTGGAGTCAGTCACCTTCACTGACTTGAAATGAAGACTCAAGGAGCACTTCGAACCAAGACTGCCCATTATCACATATAGATACGCATTCAAGTAAAGAGAACAACAGCCAGGTGAAACCATTGCTGAATTCGTGGCCGCCCTACACCAAGCATCCCGGCTCTGTGAATTTCCTGACCTAGAGGACCAGCTTCGGGACCAACTGGTATGTGGCTGAGAAGCAGAGACTTACAGCAGAGGCTGTTTGCTAAAGAGACCCTGATATTCCAGGATGCACTGAAAGAAGTGATGGCAGAAGAGGCCACAGGTGGAGCCATCAAGGCTTTACATCCCTCAAAGAATTTCCCCAGCCAAATGCCTGTGCATCATGAAGAGTCAGAGAGAACAGAAGATCCAGACGTAGACATTGAGATTGACCGGGTGCAGAAGATCCCAGAAAGAAGACAGCGGCTGCTTGACAAGGCAGCTGTCTTCCCTAGCTGTCAGGGCTGCGGAGGATGACACCAGCACTCAGAATGCCAGTTCCGTGCAGCTGTGTGCCGAGCATATGGCAAACGGGGGCATATCTCGGCACAAAACTGCCTGTGCGTGACGCCTCTGCTGAGGCTCAAACAATAGTTACCCATAGAGGGGCATTCAAGGTTCGTCGCCTGCAGTTTGGGGTCAGTGTAGCCCCAGGGCTCTTTCAGAGTGTGATGGAATGCATGTTAAAAAACATTCCAGGTGTGTGTCCTTATTTCGACGATGTTTTAATTGCTGGGGAGTCAGCAGAGATAACTTGCAGAACGTTTAAGGGCTGTTCTTCAGCGCTTCCGCGAAGCAGGGCTGAAGCTCAAAAAAGAAAAATGTCAAATAGGAGTCAACTCCACATAGTTCCTCAGTTTCTGGATTGACGCTGCCAGAATACACCCAGCTGAAGCAAAGCTCAAAGGTACTTTGCAGGGTCCCAGACCAAAGTCAAAGGGAGAGCTGCAGGCATTTCTGGGATTACTTAACTTTTATCATGTCTTTCTCCCTCACAAGGCTGCTTTAGCAGAGCCTCTACACAGGCTCTTAGATAAAAGAGCACCATGGCAGTGGACTAGTGCCCATGAAAACAGTTTCAAAGCAGTCAAATCACTGCTGTCATCAGACTCTGAGTTAACACACTTTAACAAAAAACTGCCTATCAGTATTGCACGTGATGCGTCATC